ATCTGAGAAGCTGGTTTATATGAAGAAAAACGTAGCATCAGGATTGGAGAAAGACTTGTTAACAACCTGCAATATGCAGATGATACAACCTTGCTTGCTGAAAGTGAAGAGGACTTAAAATACTTGCTAATGAAGTTCAAAGACCACATCCTTTGATATGGATTGCATCTCAATGTAAAGAAAACCAAAGTCCTCACCACTGGACCAATGAACAACATTCTTGTCAATGGAAAAAAGATTGAAGTTGTCAGGACTTCATTTTTCTTGGCTCAACCATCAACACTCATGGAAGTAGCAGTCAAGAAATCAAACAATGTATTGCATTAGGCAAATCTGCTGCCCAAGACCTTTTTTTTTTTTTTAAAGAATTGAAGAGTGAAGGTGTCAGCTTAAGGATTAAGGTGTGCCTGTCCCAAGACATGGTGTTTTCAATAACCTCATATGCATGCGAAAGCTGGAAGACCATAGAAGAATTGATGCTTTTGAATTATAATGTTGGAGGTAAATATTCAAAGTGCCATGGGCTGTCAAAAGAAGAAACATCTATATTGGAAAAAGTGCAGCCAGTGTGCTCCTTGGAGCCAGAATGGCCAAACTTCATCTCTCATACTTTAGACGTATTGTCAGGAGGGACCAGTCACTGGAGAAGGATATCATGTTTGGTAAGTTGGAGGGTCAGAGAAAAAGAGGAAGACCCCCAGGGAGATGGATTGACAAAGTGGCAGGATCAATGGGCTCAAGCGTGTCAACAATTGTGAGGTTGGCCCAGGACCAGGCAGTGTTTCATTCTGTTATGCATACCATTGCTATGAGTTGGTACCGACTTGATGGCACCTAACAACAACAACAACAACAGGCATTTAGGCTGTTTCTATCTTTTATGATTGTGAATAATGTTGTAGTGAACTTGAACTTGGGTGTACATACAGCTATCATGCACTCCTGGTATGGCGCTGTGGTTTAATGTGCAGGACTACAACATTGCTTGAACCATGAGGTTGGCAGTTCAAACTCACCAGCTGCTCCTCGGAAACCCTATACAGAGTTTCTATGGGTCGGAACCGACTGGAAGGCACTTAACAACAACAACATATCTATCAAATCATGGATCTCATTTCTTGAGGATTAATACCAAGTAGAAGGATTGCTGAGTCATATGGTATTTCTATTTCCAACTTTTTGAGAAAGTGTCACACATTTTACACAGTGGTTACACCCTTTTACAGTTGTACCAGCAGTGTAGGAAGGTCCCAGTCTCTCCACACCCTTGCCTGCATTTGTTTTCTTTTTTTCCTTTTTAACCTTTGCTATTAATGCCAGAATTAGATGATATCTCATTATTGTTTTGATTTGCTTTTTCTAATGGCTAGCATGCGACCACAAGGTCGATTTGAACTGTAAGGTTGGCAGTTCAAACTTACCAGACACTTCTTGGAAACCCTATACAGGGTCTCAATGAACTGGAACCAACTGGATAGCACTTAACAACAACAATGACTTATGGGAGATGCAAATCAAAACAACAGTGAGATATCATCCTTATTCCAGCAAAGTTCAAAAGAATATAAAACAACAAATGTTACTCTATACTGGGTCACTATGAGTCAGAACAAGGAGCTCTGGTAGCGTAGTGGTTACGAATTGGGCTGCGAGCCTTAAGATCAGTGGTTCGAAACTACCAGCTGCTCCGCGGGAGAAAGATGAGGC